AATTCAACACCCATGAATGATAAAAACCCTGCAAAACATTGGAATAGATGGTGTGTATCTCAACTTAATAAAGGCTATCTATGAAAAACCAACAGCCAACATCACATTAAATGGCCAAAAACTGAAAACCTTCATGTTAAAATCAGGAACAAGACAAGGATGCCCACTATCACCACTCCTCTTCGATATAGCTCTGGAAACATTAGCCATAGCAATTAGACAAGAGAAAGAAATTAAAGCAATAAAGATAGGAAAGGAAGAAGTTAAACTATCATTATTTGCTTATGATATGATACTCTACATTGAAGACCCAAAAAACTCAACCGAAAGACTTCTCGACTTAATTGACACTTTTGGCAGAGTAGCTGGATACAAGGTCAACACCCAAAAATCAATAGCCTTCTTGTACACAAATAACAGACTGAGAGAGAAATTAGGAAACAATTCCCTTCACAATAGCATCCAAAAAAATGAAGTATCTAGGAATCAATATAACAAAAGAAGCAAAAGATCTCTACACTGAAAACTATAGCACTCTGAAAAAAAGAAATTAAAGAGGATATTAAAAAATGGAAAGATCTCCCCTGCTCCTGGGTAGGAAGAATCAACATAGTGAAAATGGCCATACTACCAAAACTGCTATACAGATTCAATGCAATGCCAATTGAAATTCCAACACTATATTTCACAGAACTAGAAAAAAGAATCCAAAAATTCATTTGGTACCATAAGAGACCTAGAATAGCAAAAGCCATCCTAGGCAACAGACACATGGCAGCGGGTATAACAATTCTGAATTTGAAACTATACTACAAAGCCACTGCGATAAAAACAGCATGGTACTGGCAAAGAAACAGGCCTGAGGATCAGTGGAACAGATTGGAAGACACAACAACAACTCCAGATGTACTCAGCTACGTCATCTTTGACAAAGGAGCTGACCACCCTCAGTGGAGGAAACATAGCCTCTAATAAATGGTGTTGGAAAAACTGGATCTCAACCTGCAAAAGATTAAAACTAGACCCTTATCTGTCACCATGCACTAAGTTAAAATCCAAGTGGATTAAAGACCTAAATATAAAAACAAAAACACTAAACTTGCTGGAAGATAAGTTAGGCAGAACTCCAGAAGACATTGGCATAGGAAAAGACTTTATGAACAAATCCTCAGCAGCACAGGAACTAGCAAAAAAAATCAACTGGGATCTCATCTTATTAAAAAGCTTCTGTACTGCAAAAGAAACCATCAACAGAATTAAGAGACAATCTACAACGTGGGAAAAACTTTTTACCAGTTGCTCCTCAGACAAAGGACTATTATCTAGAATAAAGAACTCAAAAGAACCAGCCCCTCCAAATATAAAGACCCAATTCAAAAATGGGCATCTGAAATGAACAGACATTTCTCAGAGAAAGAAGTAAAAGCAGCAAGTAAATATATGAAAAAATGTTCCACATTACTGGTCATTCGAGAGATGCAGATGAAAACAACACTGAGATTCCACCTCACCCCACAAAGAATGGCTGCTATCAAGAAATCAAACAACAACAAATGTTGGTGGGGTTGTGGGGAGAAAGGAACCCTTCTCCATTGTTGGTGGGAGTGCAGACTGGTGCAACCACTGTGGAAATCAATATGGAGATACCTCAAAGAGCTGGGACTAGAGGTTCCATTTGACCCAGCCATCCCTCTGCTGGGTATCTTTCCAAAAGAACTAAAAGAATCATATCACAGTGATGTATGCACACCTATGTTTATAGCAGCACAGTTTGTAATAGCTAAAACTTGGAAACAGCCCATTTGCCCCTCAGTTGGAAACTGGATAAAGATGTGGTTTTTCTATAAAATGGAATATTACTCAGCCATAAAGAACGAGTATAGTCATTCATAGGAAAATGGATATATATTGAAGATACACTCCTCAGTGAAATAAATAAGTCACACATGTGTAAATACCGAATAGTTTCTCTGGTGTGAATAAACTGCAATAATACATAAGATCCTAATAAGATTAGTGACATTGTGAAATGGGAAGAAAGGGGCTAAAGGTGTAGGGAAGGTGAGATGGGTAGGGGGAAGGGTAATAAGGGAAAAGAAAAACTTGTGTGATAATGAAAAGAAGGAAATAAAGTGTTTGTAGATGGGGAGGGGAGGAGGGGGTGAAGGGAGGGCAGGGGTAAGGAGAAAAAATGAGAACCAAGACCTGTCATGTAGAGGTACAAGATCCCAACAATGAATATAACTCTACTGTATCCCTAAAATGTAACAATAAACTCAATAAAAGCTGAAAAAAAAATAAAAATTATTCTGTACCCAAACAAACAAAATTATTATTCTGCCACACTTTAAACAGAATTTTCAAATAGTTATCAATGGAAGCACTCATGTGTAATAACATGTGCTAGGTGCTTGACTCCTGTTCTTTTGCTTTTTTTTTTTTTTTTTTTTGGCAGTACTGGGGAGTGAACCCAAGGCCTCATACATGCTAGCAAGTGCTCTACCACCAAACCAACCCATTGGCTTTTCTTTCCCTCTTCATGTGTGATCAGTGACACCCTGAGAGCTCCCACAATCTGCTCAGGCTCACATGAAGCAAGAAGCTGTACATCAATCCTAGACTATGTGACCTCCAAGCTCAGCCTCTTGCCTCTGCTTTGAGACCAAGCAAGACACCTGCAACCCCTACTGGCAGTGTCAGTGCTCAGGGCTCATGGCGGCCTGGGTCACAGAGTACCTATGCTTGATGGATCCAATGGAGGTGAGCTCCTGAGATGCAGAGAACCTTCCTAAGGACGTGTAATATAATCACAGTAAAACAAGCTTTATTTTTAATTATGCACGACCTTTGAGCACACAGGCACAAACACTTTAGCTTTTAACTTCTGTATTCTTTGCCTTCTTTTTAAAGCAGTTCACGATCTTTTAAAGACATTTATACTAAAGGGAAAGCAAATTTAAAGACTCTTGAGTTCCTCTGTTTCCAAAAAAAAAAAAAGCCAGATATGATGGCATGGACCTGTAATCCCAGCATTTGGGAGGCAGAGGCAAGAGGATTGAGTCTTCAAGGCCAGCATGTACTACATAACAGTGCCTTGTCTCAAAAAACAAAAACAAAAAACCCCAATGGCTTCCCATCTCAGAGTAACAGTGCTTTGGTGAAAACTCCATTCAGTCCAAGTCCCTACTACCTCTCCTACTTTATTCCAAGCACACAGGCTTCCTTGCTCGAGGCTCTTCAATTGCTGCTGCCTTGGCCTAGACTGTTCTTCCTTCCCAATCTGAGGTCCTTGGTAGTCTAGTGGCTAGGATCCTTCCCAATTTGCATGGAGCAAACTATTCCCTTCAGTCCTCACTAAAAACTCACCTTCCTGGTGAGGCCTTCTGAGTACCCTAACAAAAACATCAGCCCTGTCCCCAACATTTATACCTGCTTTCCTGCTTTATTCCTTTTCCTTGGCACTTTCAATATGTTTTTTTTCTTTCTTTTTGGTACGGTGGGGGTTCAAACTTGGGACTCTATGCTTGCGAGGCAGGTGGCGGAACCACTGAGCCAAATCCCCCACCCTTTCTTAGCACTTAATACTACTAAATACTGTATGTGTGTGTTTTTTCTTGTGTAAACTTTGTATTCTTCATCTGTATCTGGTTCACTACTGTACCTCCAGTGGGTGGTACACAGATGCTCAGAATGTAAATGAATGGTTGACAGTGGGTACTCAATAAGCATTTGTTGAGTGAATGGTTGTTTTCAATCAGGGCACATTCTTGGATGCCCTGATGTAGCAGCATGAGATGCACACAAATGCTGGGACTGTACTGCATACATTCCATTCTGGACATCACACTTCTTAGCCATGCAGCTTTAAGTGAATTATTTAACCTCTTCTTCATATGTGAAAAAAAAAAAATGATAAGACTCTTTCACAGAGCCACTGTGAGAATTAAATGGATCAATCCACACAAAATGTTTCTAATAGTATCTGGCATGAAATAAGTATATTTAACAGTTTAACTTTATTCATCACTGTTATTTATTCATAGTCAGCCAGGGCCAGGGATTTAGCTCAGTGGCTCCACACCTGCCGCACAACTGCAAAGTCCTGAGTTCAATCCCTGGTAACAACAACAACAAAAAAAAAAAAAAAAAAAAAAAAAAAAAAAAAAA